TTGAATCATCTAATAAGTGTCTTAAAACAAATAGTAAGTTCATATAATTTAATAATTTAATAATTTATAAATATCTTTCTTATCTTACTTTATTTATCACAAGAATGAGACAATATATTTTTAAAAGAATTTTTATTATTTTCAATACATATTGTACTTATATTAGTGTATATACATAAATTTTTTAAATTTTCAGTTTTGGGAACATATACATTCGGTAAGGGATCACTATTCCTCTCTTTCCTTAGGGAAAATTCTTCATTCAAGATTCAAAGATCTAGATATAGGAAAAATGTATATGGGCATTTCTCCAGAAAGGTCAACCACAGCCAAAATATACAAAGTCAATGAAAGCATGTTCTGCTAACACATTTATTTTTACAACTAATCCATCAAATTGAACTAATATAAACCAATTTTACTTTTTATCATAATACATATCGAAATATTGAGACACAAAGCCGAACAAGTCCAAAAGTTCTGTTTTGAGCATTTCTATTGCACATTAGTTCTTATTATTGAGACACTATGCTTATTATGATAATTCGAATTTTCTCTATTTTATTATAATTAATAAATTGAGTATATTGAAAATCATTTCTAATGCTTTTATTCATGTAACATTACTAAAAAATTAAGAAATTGATTAAAACTAAAAAATAAAAAAACTACTCAATATTTTTGAATCAAATAAAAAACATTGTAAAAATGTGCCAATTTCTAATAATTTAAAATTATTCGTCACTTAAGGTTTCGCTAAAATCTCAAATACGTACGAATGTCCCATTCGCCTCTAGATTTGCCCATATTATTTTAAATATTGCTGAAATACATAAATTGCTTTTTTCGTATTTTGGATATTGGCTTCAGATATTACAGAATTCTCATTTGAAGGTTGGAAATATATGTATAACCATTTTTGATTACATTGGCATGTTTTCTATAACGTCAAATATAAGTTACCCAAATGTAGAAAGTTAAATATAATCCGTTAATGCAACATAAATTATTAAACAAAACATTTGGCCAACGTGGCAGCAACAAGAAGAGTTTCCCTATACATGTGCATATATACATTTAACCGTTCATGCGTTTTTCTATGCATTTGTACACATACACAATGACAATTGAAGTGTGTTAGAATTCTCAGCTGCTACTTTAGCTTGGATTTACTGCTGAGCGCAGTGGACACGTTTCAGGTTTATTAATGCTTGTTTGAGCTATAGATATTTGAAATATATGTATGTATATATGAAGAGGTTTTTTTTTGTTTAGACCTGTGCTCGATTCCAAGTGGATTTAAATTATTTCATTTTGGGCACACTATGGAGTATATTTAAAATCGCAGATCGGAATGGGCTAGGAGACTTGCTAGTCGAGCAGTGACGATTAGAATACTTTTTGAAGAGGAAGTTGATGAGATACTATTTAATTCAATTATTCAGTACGATATGCATAGTTCAATTTTTGAATAATTTAAAAAATTAAGTATATTTTTTTGAACGAATACACTTGATTATGATGGTGTTTAGTTGCGTATTGATCTTTATTCTTCTGAGCCTGGGTTTATATACCCAGACTCATGCATAATTTCAACCCTTATAGTGCGTCTATTGCTGAGTGTGTAAGGCTCAGCATTGGTCTATTACATATTCTTATCTTATCGCAGAGTTTGTAAGGCTCCGCGTGGGCCAATTAGCTATTCTTATCCTATCGCTGAGGTTGTAAGGTTCGTGTCTTACATATCTGACTCTGGGGTTGCAAGGGTTGGTGTCCATTTGTCTATTTATAGAGTCTGTACATGTGACCTTTATCTTTTCCCAGCGAAATACCTGCTACACGTAGAGTGCGTCGGAGGCATGTATACGATCTTCGTATATTCATATGTTTATGCGTGAACATTTTAGTTACTAAATATGGTATAGTTCAACAATTAATTGAAATATATTTTGTTGCTTGTTTTATTTTTTATAATTATATTTTTGCATATAAAAAAAAAAATAAAAAAAAACGAAGCCTAATTTAATATAAAATCAATATTTGTAGATTACTTTTCAATTAATCCTTCAAGCAATGGATTTGGCATTGGTCTTCAAGTTACAAATAGATCGACGCATCAAGTGATGACACGAATATTTGCAATATTTTTAAAGGAAGTGCTTAACTATAAGGATGTACAAATCATTCCATTAATATTTGAAAATTCATCGGACCCTGAAAATGCTTTGCGAACCCTAAAATATGTTAAGTAAGCCCGATATTCATAACTTTCTGAGAACCATTATGAATATAATTGATGTTGTAGATACTATAAGGGACATCATCAGATTTCAATGATCAATTTGGAAGTGTGGACACCGTACACAGTACATAAGGAGCCTCAACCAAATATTTATAGTGCCGGTGCATCTATAGCTCCCGGTCGGTTTAGTTGGTTTGTGCCAAGATCACAAATTACGACGGATACAAAGGACTGTAGCTTGCATTATGAAGTCTTTAGAGATATTAATAACGTATATTATTCACTCTACATAATGGAGAATAATATTATGTCAATATTATTAAACAGAAGGTAAATATATAGTATAAGTATCTGATTGAGTGATAAACAATAAACTATCTTACCATTTTTATAGTGTTGAAGAATATACAAATCCAAATTGTGCCAATATCAAATGTGCGACGCTAATGGCGGAATGGCGCGATGATTCGAACTTTATTACAGAGGAATTAGATGACAGCTATCTAAATGTAGTTTGGTTAGGACATCAATTTAGAGATACTATTCAGGAATTGGATACAATATATAAATCTAGTTACAGTCGTGGACAAAAAAGATTTGTCGTTCTTCATTGGATTCCCTCGGATGTAATTGATTCTAAAATTAAATTTACACAAATATCATTGCCCAGATGTGAGGACCATGATTACTTGAAAAGGTCAAATTGCCGATACGAGTTAACTCCGATTCTAAAATATTATCCCGGAAGTTTAATTTATGATAAGCGAATGATGTACGCTCTTCGAAATTTTTATATAAATGATACAGACTTGGAGAATATTCTGAATGAGCTTAGTGTACAAAGAGCCTATACAAAAGATTCTGAAGAATTGTTTAACAATGTCGCGTGTAATTGGCTGCTCCAGAATTTTAAGATATACAGTCAATGGGTACTTCCAAAGACGGTAAAAACATTAGCGATTGGTGGTATATTCCCACTCCATATAACAGATCGGGGACATGCAAATATTATTGAGGCATCGCAAAAAGCTGTCGATGTAATCAATGAGAATAAAACAATACTACCAAACTATCATTTAGAGCTACTAATAAAAGACGGGCAATGCAAGTCGGATATGGTTTTAAAGTCATTTATACATTATTTCAATGAACCAAATTTATTGGGTGTTCTGGGCCCTGCGTGCAGTGAAACTGTTGAACCGATTGCAGGTATTTCAAAGCATTTAAATATGATGGTCATATCATATTCAGCTGAGGGCGACTCCTTTGTTGACCGCAAAGCATATCCATACTTTTTTCGAACGATTGGATCAAACAGCGAGTATGTGGATGCTTACATCAAAATTATGCAGCGACTTGGTTGGACTCGAGTCTCAACATTGACAGAGGACACCCAGCAATATACGGGCTATTTGTCGCGTATGGAGAACAAATTGAGACTATATAACTTTACCTTGGCGTTCAGCCGAAAGGTTCCGAGTGATGTGACTGCTACGGACATGAGAGAGGTTTGTTTTAATTACCGCATTGAAAAAGAATGTGTTAAATAAACAAATCAATAAAAAAAATCTATATATATACATATAT